TAAAAATTGTAAAATTATTAAATTTAATTTTAGAATTAAAAATATATATTTATTACTAAATTAAATTCTCGACTTATCGAAAGTCAGATTTGCACCCTTTTTCCTTTTTTTTTTTAAGACACAATGTTGGTTAGGTTGTTTATTTTAAAGGGCAAAAAAGTAAAATAATTTAAAGTAAAATAATTAAAAAATTGAAAAAGGTGTTTGGGATGTTTGGTTCCGATGTTTTAACTCAAAAAGAAACCAAACAAGAATCTGGAAAACTCCAAACCAAACACCAAGCAAGTCCCATGAAAAGACTTAATTAATTCCCATGGGAAATGCCTTTTCACACAGAAGAAAGAGTTTTCCCACTTTCTTCAGACATTAACGAGAATTTGACTCTTAGCTCGAAACGTGTCAGTCCACTCTTCGAATCTTCCAAAAACTGAAACAGGGAACCCTTTTTAATTGTTGAAACTTAGTTAAAATCTTCCTCGGAATCCAAGTTGCTCCTTTATGTTTTCCCTCCTTTCTTTAATTGTAGTAAATGTTTTTTCCAAAGGTGAGTACGTAGCTTTCCTTCTCTGAATCTCCTCCCCCATAAATCTCGCCTTTCGTCAATCAACGTGACTCCAAAGATTTCACCTTTTGCTAACTAGTGGACAGCCCCACTTTCTCCAATGAAGTATTACTCTTTGACGGGGAGAGAATTTAATTTTCTCGGTGACCCTTTTTTCTAGCTTTGCTTAGGATTGAGAAATGAGACAGGTTGATTGAATCGATGGGCACCAAGAGGTTTTTCAGGATTAAGAAAACCCATTTTGATTTTGTGTTGGGTTTTATGAATGGGTTTTTGTGTGGAATTATCGTTCCAGTTGTTGATTATTTGTGGGTTTTGCTCTCCAAGTTCACTGTCTATGTTTTTGGATCAATCATGGGATTTATCTTCAGGTATGGGACTCTGTTTTTATATCGGTTCTTGGTTTTCTTATGATTTATGATATTAGATTAAAGTTTAGGGTCTTTTGCAGGTTTCCAGGCGGTAATAGGTGCCTTGAGGAGAATGACTCTAGGGCTTGTTTGGATTCAAACTTTGATGGCTTGAAGAAAAGACAGAGTAGTGATTTTGTTGATCATGGATATTGTGGAGGAGAGGATTCCGCCCTGGTGGCAAGCACAAGCAAGTATGAGTTTTTGTACAGGAAAAGTATCAGTAGATTCGTTGAAGAACCGAAAACCGAGAACTATACCGTGCGCAAGTTCTACATGGGTGCAAATGACTATGCCGATTTCAATGGTGGAATTCCTGATTCAAGGGACTCCGCCGATGGTGATGTTGACGAAATCGAGTTCAAAGTGGAGGATGTAATTGACGAGGAAGTCGACAGGAAAACAGAGAGTTTTATCGAAGAGAAAGCAGAGGACTCTACCGAAAGTTTCATGATTGAAAAGCTTTTGGATGAAGAAGAAGAACCGCAGGTAGTAGAAACAAATGATGTTTTTGAAAATAAAACAGAGGAATCTGCTCTGAGGTTTAGCTTTGTCTTCGAGAAACAAATCAAACAAGAACAGTTAGTTGAAGCAGAGGTTACCGTCGAGGAGAAAACGGAAAGCTGTGCTGGAGAGAAAGCAGAGGCTATAGAAACGGAAGTTGCTGTTAAGGAGCAAGCACGGGACTCTGTTGAGAATTTCATTGTTGAAAAACTTTTGGAGAAACCAAAACAGGGGATTGAAATGGAAGATACTTCCGAAGAAAAATCAGAGGTAGCTGCTGAGAATCACTTTATTGAAAAGAATTCAGAGAAACGCAAACGTGAAATAGAAGACAAGGAACATGTTGAAGAGAAATTCGAGGACTTTTTGGAGAGTCCTGTAATTGACATGTACTTAGAGAAATGGAAACGCGAAAAGGACGAATCTAACGAGGATGGTGAAGCTTTTAGCCCAAGAAGCAAGGTTGACGTTGAGTCAATTACTCATGAAGTTTTGGCCAACATGGTGGACTCGAGACCTGAAAGTCTCCTGGTAACCGATGGCCACGAAACTCATGAACGAAATACAAGTATTACAGATCACGAGGCAGCAATTATAACAAGTCCAATCACTGATTCTGATGATGAATTTATAGAACTGGAACTCCGGTCTGAAAAACTGTGTGTAATGGGAGAAACAGAGTCTAGAGAACGTTTAACCATTGAGCATGAAGATGACCCAGAAGAGTCAATAATTTCCCCAGAAAAAGCCATGGAACCAACCATGCAGGAGGAGGAAGCCGACTTAAATTATGAGGATCAAGATGATTCAGAGCACGATGACCTGATAGAGCGGCTGAAAACGGAACTGAAAATCGCTAGAACTGGGGGACTTCCCACAATTTTGGAAGAATTCGAGTCTCCGAGGATGGTACCAGAACTGGGGCCACTGCAAATTGATGAAAAATATGATCACAAACATCATATCGCTGAAATTCAAAAGGTTTACAGGAGCTACTCTGACAGAATGAGGAAGCTGGACATTCTGAATTCCCAGACCATGCATGCCATCAGTAAGTCCCCACAAAAACCCTGCAATTTTCTTCTATTTTTTGGTTGAAATTTGATTTATCTGTCAGTTAAACAATCCTTCTATGGTAAATTCAGTCAACATTGTAGGACATTGATTAAAGAATTTCGGGCCCCATCTTGTCTCATTCAATCTTCTCAGCTTCTTTCTCTATGTAAAAACCAGAAGCTGCCATCTGGCTTTTAACCTGTCGAAGATTTTTTTTTCCCTCCCTTCCATAAAAGAGATCTTTTAGAAGAAATCAATTGCCTGGTGGGTCTCCATCATCTTTATTCCCATCACTATTTTACTAACAAATGTGCAGCCAATGACCTTTTCATTTCTCAAATCCATGATGCTGCTACCAGGTGGAAGTCCATGTCAGTATTCTTTAATGCCATCTGACCTACCTTTTCCCCTTCCCTGGATTTCTATGGGCACATTCAAATCGATGGAAGATTGGTATTACCCCACTTCCATGTCTCATATAGTCATATGAGAGTTATGGTCCAAAAGTATCCTAATGTCTATCACCTCATTCATGTCAATGGTAGATTGTGATTTCCACACTTCCATTTCTCTCTATGGTTCTAAAGTATCCTAACAAAGATGTATAAGATTCGAAATTTCTTGTTGAATGAACTGTATTGACTTTTTTTGGTGATTATCCATACATCTCTAGGTTTACTTCAACTAAAAGACCCAGTTCGATTAAGTAAAGTTGGAAAATCATCAGCTCCAGGAGTTAAGTCAGTTCTCTCACAGAACGTATGGCCATTCAAGCAACGGAAGCCTGAAGCTGACCCAGCAATGAAGTTGATTAGAGATTTGCAAAGGGACTTTGAGACAGTCTATGTTGGACAAGTCTGCCTTTCCTGGGAAATACTAAATTGGCAATATGGAAAAGTAGAAGAGTTGTTGGGATGTGACAGCCACGGAATTCGTCAGTATAACCAAGTTGCTGGGGAGTTCCAACTTTTTCAAGTGCTTATGCAAAGATTTTTGGAGAACGAACCCTTTCAAGGCAGACCAAGAGTTGAAAATTATGTCAAGAACAGACGTGCACTTCGGCATCTCCTTCAAGTTCCAATGGTTAAAGGTAAACAACTTGGACCACTGATCTATGTATTCCAAAACATGGTTTTAGTCCTTGAAAAAAATGGTTAATCCAAAGCACAATGTCCTTGCAGATGATGGTTCAAGACACAAGAATGGAGCTGGAGAGGAAGATGCAGTGTCAAGTGAAATGTTGACAGATATCATCGAGGAATCAATGCAGGTTTTCTGGGAATTCCTTCGTGCTGATAAAGATGAAGCAAATGCGACCTCCAAGACTCCCCAGCAAGCCCGGGTTGCTCCACATGACCCCACTGATTTTGAGCTATTGATGGATGTTAGAACAGATCTTCAAAAGGTAATTTTGCTTCCTTAAACCTCTTTGAACATACGCTCATTTTGCTTTTGCAACTCAAAGCTCTGAGATTAACCATGTTCTTGGTTTTTCCTTTCCATACAGAGGGAGAAAAGGCTGAAAGATATTCAAAGAAGTACAAACTGCATAATCAAGAAGTTGCAGAGGCAACACCATGGGAATCTGTTAGACCATGCACTTTTCATAGCCCAAGTTGAGCTGAAATTGGTCTCAAGAGTGCTGAACATGTTGAAAATAACCACAGATCAGTTAGTCTGGTGTCATGAGAAGTTAAACAGGATAAACTTTAGTAGCAGAAAGATAGAGTTAGAGCCCTCATTTACACTTTTCCCATGTTAAACATGGTGACCACCCCAGGCCACTGCCACTATACTTGATGTCAGTTGTGAATATATACAAGAACAGATAAAGCAATACAAAGATATTGGCATTTTGACACAAAAAGAAAAAAATTTCTCTTTTTCCAAGTTGATCTCCAGCATTTTTCTTTCCCAAGAATTCTTAGTCAATTAGTATCAGATCAACCCAATTTGAATGTTAAAACATATTGGGTTAACTCGCTTAAAACCGATTCGGTTAATTCATTTATATCAAAATATGTCACGTCAATATTTTTTATTCAAATTTAGTTAATTTGATATTAAATAATAAGTATAGAGCTCAATTGACATAAATAAAAGAATAAAGATGTAATTGAAAGTTTCATATTACACATAAAATTTTTTTTATAAAATTATATATTATGATTTAAATGAAATTATTAATTATGACATGTCATAAAAGGGTAAAAATGTAAAATAAAAAATTAAAAAAAATGGTCACACGCAATCTTTTGCCTTCAAACTTAAAGTTGGATGCATAAATTTTCAAATAAATAAATCTTTTTTAAATTATTGAAATAGTATTGGGCTGAGGTTTGGGCCGCAATGTAAAACCCAAACCCAAGCCTAATAAACGCCATTTTGACCCGAAAGTCATGATCTTATTTCAGCCGTCTGATCTAGGGCCAAAAAATACAAAGAGCATCCCTCGGTTCTCTTTTAAGACATAAACATAGGCCTTACGGGAGCGAATCGCCTCAAAAACCCTAGACGAAGCACAGACGAACAGAACAGAGCGACTCCAAAATGGTTCAGCGGCTCACCTACCGCACGCGCCACAGCTACGCCACCAAGTCCAACCAGCACCGCATCGTCAAAACTCCCGGTAACTTCCTCCCCCACCTCTTTGCCGAACGGAGATCCGTTTTTGAAAATTTTTTTTTGTTATCTGATGGGAACGGCGGTCTATGATTAATGGTGCACTCATGGATTCATGGTGGTGATTATGTTCTTTTTCTTGTTGGTGTAGGAGGGAAGCTTGTTTATCAGACCACAAAGAAGAGAGCTAGTGGGCCTAAATGTCCTGTTACTGGCAAGAGAATTCAAGGAGTATGTTACCCCCTCCTCCCTTTTTATTTTAAATATTTTGATTGAATTTATTGAATCTTAAATTTAGAAGAAATTTGCTTCCTGGTTATGATTTTAGGTAGTGGAGAAATGTAATTTTGTTGGAGATTTTGATTTGTTTTTTCTTAAAGCTTCTATGAAGTTTTTATCTTGACAACATTTTAGACATATGCTATGCTGATTATGATTTTAGGCTAATTTAATCTTTTTTTAATGCATTTGATTGATTTTGATCAGTGTTTCATGGCTTTTTAATTGAAGTACAATGTGGGTATATTGAGAAAAAAATTGGGTTTATTGAGTGGTTATTAGAAGCCTGGTTGTTATTTTAGTTTGAGTGTAGTTTTGAGGTTAAATGTGGGCTATATCTTGTAGATTCCTCACTTGAGGCCTGCTGAGTACAAGAGGTCTAGATTGCCAAGAAACCGCAGGACGGTGAACCGTGCTTACGGTGGAGTTTTGTCTGGAGGTGCTGTCAGGGAAAGGTTTGTACTTTAAGACTTAGACTTGTCGGTCCTTTCTTGTTTCTATTTGGTAGCATATGAGAAGACTTATTTTCATGATTGTTCATTATTCCAGGATCATTAGGGCCTTTTTGGTGGAAGAGCAAAAGATTGTGAAGAAGGTCCTGAAGATTCAGAAGGCCAAGGAAAAGCAATCATCCAAGAGCTAGAATTTCAGTAGAGTAAATTTGGCTATGGATTGATGGTAGCGAATCTGGGAATAGTATCTTGAGTGATCAAGATTGGGATTTTTATATTTTAGCTTGGCTGCTATGAAACTGTGTTCTATTTCTTTATCTTCGTCGACAAATCTACTTGTGTTAAAAATTTTGTTTTGTTCATTCACTTGTTAGCTGGTCACTGAAATTTCATGTTGGAACTGGATTTGGATGATCCATGTATTTGCAGATTAGTGGTTTTTGCTATTACCGTTAAACTAGTTATCTGATTGCCTCAATATGACATAATGCTGCACCTTTTTCTTATTCATTCTGTGATGTGCGTATATTTGACCACTTCGGAGGAAAGGCCATATGTAACTACATCTTGATAGCTTTTTTCAGTCAAATGTTGTATGAGGTCTGACTAATACATGGTTTACATCATAGGAGCTCTTGCAGAATGATCTGAGCTGAGCAGTTTCAACTTTTTCTGAATTACATTATGCTTTAGCCATCATCTTTTTCTATGAACTTGATGGTTGAGTTCGGAAAACAGACTAGTTAGACTTTTATTTCAGGTACAAACATTGAGTACATGATATTCATATTGGCAGGCCTATAAAATGGTAGTGATAGGCTGTTTATGTATCTGAATCTAAGCTTTAGGAGATTGGCAATACTTCTTTCTCATCAAGGCAACCAGTTTGTCATGAGGAGGTAGAACGTCTTTGATCAGAGGGTGTTCTTTCAGAGCAGTCACCCATGAGAAAAACGAAGGGTGTTTTGCTGGTTCAAAAATCACAGTAACCACTTCATGAAAGGCCTGGTAGTTGCATGCAACTGTCCCGACAATGACATCAAGAAATCCCAGGCTGTCACCGTTGAGGAACGGAGATTTGGCCGGAAAGTCCTTCTCGATACCTTCTTCAAACACCTTCAGCAATTCATGGTGGTCCTCGATGGCTTGGTCACGTTCTTCGCCTTGAGACAAGGCGATGCGCAAAATAGCCGGCATGATCTGGTAACCAAGAGCAATTTGGTAATCAAGAGCAATTTGATTAACATCCAAAGATGAAAATAATGCGCAATAATAACATGAAAGCAAAGAGTGATCAAGTACCTTCTGGTCATGATAATTGGCCCAAAAGCGAATTTTGGCTCTCTGGTAAGGATCCTCCGGTAAGAGTTTGGGAGCAACATTGCTCCAGTACTCATCGATGTATTCAAGTATTACAAGTGATTCAGCAATGGGTATACCATCGTGCAACAGCACAGGCACCTTCTTGTGGACAGGATTGGAGTGGCGGAGCAGCGAGCTCTTGTTTTCCAGGTCTTCCTCTATATATTCGTAGGGTATGCCCTTAAGCTTGAGGGCCAATTCAACTCTCTTGCAATAGCCGCTAGCCCATGTCCCAATCAGTACAACCTGGCTTTGTTTCCCTTCCATTCTCAGCATCTATATGTTGCTTTTACCTCTTCTATTGGTGTGATGCTTCTTGGGACGGTTTGAGGCATTTATATAATTGCAGCTATGTTAGAGAAGGATGAGTGAAGAAGGGGAGAAAGTACCAACTTTGAACAAGTCAAAGACTTGGGGAAGAAGTTCAAAGATGGTTTAAATTTTTAATTGGTCCTAAACAAAATGTTTTCTTGGCTGATAAGATAGCCGCAGGAACCTCTTTTTTTTATATATCCTGATTGACTAGTTTAGAGGTGGCAAATGTACAAGTTTAGCCCATGTTTTAGTCAAAATCCTTAAATGTCTTTGTATTAAAACATTTTCTATAACTTAGTCTTTTTATTCAAAACCATAACATTTTAGCTTTTTAATTTTAAAAATTACTTCAATTTAATACCTTTAATATTTTTCGTTTAAATTAACTGTTATAGTGCTAAGGTCAACATTGATGTGACATATAAAAGGAGTTTTGGTTCTAATATAGTAATGCCATGTCACACTTCAAGATTGGAGCATTGCTTCAATTTAATCTCTCTAAACATTTTTTGTCCAAATTGACTATTACGATTTTGACGTGGCATATAAAAGGGGTAAGGGTTTTGGTTGCTGATATGATAGTGGCACATCACACTTCAAGACGTGGCACTCTTAAAAATTGAAATATCCTTAATTTTAAAAATTATTTCAATTTAGTCTCTCTAACATTTTTCGTCTAAATTAATTGTTACAGTGTGGAAGTCAACATTGATGTGACGTATAGAAGGGGTTTTGGTTACTGATATGGCAGTGCCATGTCACATTTCAAGATCGGAGAATTGCTTCAATTAAGTCCCTCTAACATTTAATCCCTCTCACATTTTTCATCTAAATTAATTGTTATACTGCTGCGGTCAACATTGATGTGACATATAAAATGGGTTTTGATTGCTGATATGATAGTGTCATATCACACTTTAAGATCGAAAAATTGTTTCAATTTAATCCCTTTAATATTTTTTATCTAAATTGACCGTTACGGTGTTGATGTGGCATATAAAAAAGGTAAAGGTTTTGGTTGCTGATATGGTAGTGGCACGTCACACTTCAAGATGTGGCACTCTTAGATTTGAACCCAATAACTCTAGTAAATAACCTTATATTTTTAAGGTCACATCTAAACTCTTACATTTAATAATATTTTGCTTGAATTTCATTTTTTTTCTTTTTCTTTTTATAAAACTTCGTCATTTTGAAACCTTTTTATACTCTCAAAAACCATAACAATAAAAACCCTTTGAAACCTTTTTCTCAAAACAATGTAGTTTTATAGAAAGAAAGAAAAAAAAATAAGAAAGAGAAGAAAACTTCAAAACGACGTAGTTTTATGAAAAAAAAAATAAGAAAAGAAATTCAAGTAAAACATTATTAAATGTAAAAATTTAGGTGTGATGATAAAGATATTAATTTATTTACTAGATATTCTGATTCAAATATCAACAAGTGTATTCAATGAAGAATAAATTGCCACGTATCACACTCTAAGAGTGCTATGTGGCAACTTGAACCCATAAATGCCACGTTAGCGATATATGTCCAAAGTTGCCACGTCACACTTCAAGGTTGGGTTGCCACACCAGCAACCAAAACCCCTTTGTATGCCACGTCACAATATCGGTCAATTTGAACAAAAAAAATCCAAAACCCCTTTGTATGTCACGTCATAATAACGGTTAATTTGAACAAAAAAAAATATTAGAGAGATTAAATTGAAACAATTTTAAAATTAAAAGATTAAAATATTACAATTTTGAGTAAAGAGACTTAATTGAAAAAAATACCTTAATACAAGAACTTTTCAACTATTTTGACTCTCATTTTTTTATGACTTTAATAAAAAGAATTGAAAGTCTAATTTTCTAATTTATTAACAAGCCAATCAAATCGATTGATTATACGGTCTGTAAAATATTACATTGCATCGATTGATTATATAATATAAGTTGTTTAAGATGACTTATTATATAGTCTAAATAAAATTATAGAGTAAAGCATTCATACGAGACTGCAAAATTTTCTTATTGTGCTTTTAATTACTTGTATTATAAGTAGTAGTATTTCATTTGTTTATAGTCTAAATACAGCCATGTAAATTAGATGGTTGTGCATGGAGGTAGTGTAAATTTCTTCATGAGAAAACATTGCCAAAGGATGTCTCGTAGCCTGACAGACTTGTATATAAGAGTTCATTCCAAGCATCTGTTACTCCAGGGAAGACACCAACGGGAGCAATCGACGCCTTGAGTACCATAGATGGAAGGATGCCCATCTTTGCTTAGCTGTGGCAGGGCTGTTACATTAAGCAAATGAACTCATTTAGATATCCTGTTCTGAAACTTTCACCAGCACAGCTTCTGCTGGATGTGGACCTCCTGGATATTTATGCCCTGGGACTGCTCCCTCGTTTCCCTTTTACAATTCTTTGCATTCAGGTCTTCCCAATCTCTTGGACTAGTATTTGAAAGAACTTTGAGAAGATTCGGATAAAGAGAAGATGATGGCATTTTTGTTTTGTTTTGCTTAGAGCAAACATTAACAGGTTACTTGAAATGATATGGGGAAACATCCTGGAAGATAACCCTGGTTTTCTTGGTATAGACGGTGGAGTATACTCACATAGCTCAGCTGATCGTGTCATAGAATCATTATCCTCTTTCTAATAAGTTAATCTAATGGGATATAATGCTTACATTTACAAGTTTTTTACTTATTTTCTTTAAAACGCTTAATATGATATTTTCTTTCATTCAATTCAACGACAAATTATCACAGTTCTACTACCTTCTCTTAAAAAAGCTAACATGATGGAGAGCGTAGTACCCACTATAAATGCATGAAAAGTTTTCTCATAAACAACCGATCGATCCATGTCCTTATACCTGACGTTGGCTTCTTGAGTGTATAATATCCCATCTGGTGCAGTTGCCACCACCAAAAAGTTTTCCTAAGCATCAGAGTAGTGATATAAGAGATGTAATCAATCAATATAATAGTAGAAAATCAAATCGATCTTACGATTGCTTCTTTGCAGGTTGAAGCCCCTCATTCCAAGTGTTGAAGACCAACACATCGATCAGCATCCTACCAAACTACTCCTCCATTCCCGATTGATTCAGGTTTCAGGATTCTTTCGTTTTGGTCACCAACAATGTCAGCAAGAAAACCATGGCCGGCAAACGTCACCCAGACATTGTACGGCTAGAAGCAAAACAATGTGTTTTTGTACAATCAATTTTCATAAGCTGGGTGACGTTTTCCGGCAATGGTTGAATTTGTCATTCAAATCCTACTAATGGAATTGTAAGCTTCACATGGGAATTTAATTATCTAAATAATGAAACAACTAAGGTGAAAATGGTCTACTAAACATATATAAATACTTTATGTGACTATATTGTTTAAATATATATAGTGCATGCATATATTTTATGTGTTTTTAATTATTTACTTAGATGAAATACCTTAATTAACTGTAAAATTTCCTTTCTCAAAATAATGAAATGATTTGATGCCTAGACAAAGGATTCTACAAGTTAATGTTAAAAAACAGAAAAACTTGCTGCCTAGCTAATTTCTGATAAGGGGATATATTGTTTTTCACAGTATATCAATTACATCAAGTATAGCACTTGGTCGTGGTGGAAAAACTTGTTGACATCTCACTGGGACATGAAGAATCCCAAGGCATGCTTGGCTTCCAAGCATCTCCCATACTCATGGGCAAGCTGAAGGGGAATCCAATGGATCGGACAGGTTCCCACTGATCATCAACATGGGTCATCACGTTCAGGTTTTTTAATAGGGAACTTTCGTGATCTCCATTGTTGTTGATGTTGCCTTGCATCTCGTGGGGCAAAGTCCCTGGGAAGCAGCCATTGCAATGATCTTGTGATCCTCCACCAAAATGTACAGTACTATCTGAGGCTGCCTTACCGTAATCTCCAAGCATGGAAGATGACATGTTTAGCAACATGGAAGTAACGTCAGCGGCGGATTTGGCAGGGAATGATGAGGTTTCAAGAGGTGCAAAAATAAAGCTGGTTAGGTCTCCAGTGCTGGAGATGGCCGGAAGCTGAGGTGGCTTCCCAGCCATCTGGGTGACGGGCTTGTAAGAGAGGAAGTGTTCTAGGGGGGAAAATGCAGCAGCTGATGTTTGTAGTATGTCAGCGTCATGGTTAAACTGGGCCGCTGAGGAGCTGGTTTTTGTTGTCAGCAGTAAGTTCTCTGAAGAAAGTTGAGAACTGTTTGAACCTCTACTAGGCATATCAGACATTGATGATGTTTCAGGTATTGGAGAAACCCAGGATTGAGAAAGAGCTCTTTGAGCTGTGGAGTTGGTTTTCTTGAATATCCTGCATATCGCCCATGAGTCCTGCAAGTACAATGATCGACCAATCAGTAAGTTTACATTAAAAAAAGAAAAGGGTGTTTGAAAGAAGTGGTTTTCTGTTCAGATTCTTTACATTGGCGGGGAGGCTTTTGTCCAAGAATCTCTTTGGTGGTGCAGAGTCAGTGAGGGAAGGTAACCTAAACTCATGCATCATCCAATCAGTTTTGACCCCTTTGGCTGCTCTGCCTTTGTAGAAAACAAGAGATTTCTTCAAGCCAATGCACTTGGTGCCATCCGAGGAATAGATGGGGCGGTCAGTTCCTGTGGCTTTCCAAAACCCTGCTCCAGTTACTCGGTTTGGCCTCGCACTGTTTCTGTATTTTCTGTCCCTGGGACAGTAGAAATACCACTCTTTCTCTCCGGTGGTTGCCAGCTCTACATGAAAAGAAACAGCAACTGTCAGTTTCCATTCTTTATGTAAGACTTTCAGACACTGAGACAAGCATATATATATTAGGATTAACTTACTAGGAAGATCCCATGGATCATATTTATAGATGTCTAGTTGCTTAATCAGCTCTATCGAGAGAGGGCGCTGCTGAATCTTTCTTTTCAGATAAAACCCAACAAGTTCTTCATCAGTTGGATGAAACCTGAACCCTGGAAGCATGACTTCTTCCATTTTTTCAGTATCATTTCTCTCATCCATTCTTTTCTCTGCTTCCCTACCTAGCTAGGATATACAGACACCGTAAGAAAACAAAACAAATATAAGGTAGAGATCCCAAGGTCTCCTTTTCTCTATTTTCTTTCCTCAAACTGAAAGTTGAATCCAAAAGCAAATAGATGGAAAGTTTCTGATCAGGAACTATATGTTAAACCCTAGAGGAAAACTGGAAGAGCAAGAAACTTTCCTGACAGAAGAACAGCTTGACAATGAAGCAAACTTAAAAAAAAAAGGATACGAACTATCGAAGACACCAAGTTGAGAGTGAAAGTTCACTTAATTTGAAGCCAATATATGCTTCCTGAGGAGGGGTCTGCCCCCGAAGGATCAGCCGCCTTTTCTGGTGACTTTGAAAGGAGTGTGTGTTTTGCGAGGATTGCGTTGGCTCACCAAAGAAGCGAATTGGCAAAGGGTCTTAAAAGAAAGAAAAAGAACAACTACCAAGAAGCCCAAGTCTTTGTACAAGAGACTCTTATTTCTTACTTGAAGACCTTAATGAACCCCATTCTGAGTTTATTTGTTTAATCCAAATGGAAGAATCTCAAGAAAAGCTACAAAATCAGCAGCATCTGGGGATAATAACATGACTGTTAACCCTGCAATTTTTTAATCCAAAACCCATGATTTTTTTTTCCTGCCTGTCCATTTCAAATCAAGACAAAAGAAATAACAGATACTTCCATGGTCTTTGTTTGAATTATTATATGGAAACATGGACCCGAACCCAACTCCCAATACCCCAAACCTGAAATTTATATTCAACTGTGAAATTCCTATGTGAGTGTTCAGGATTTAATCTAATGATATTTGTTTAGCTTTCTCAGAATCCGATAAAATTCAGCTTCTATTCCATTCCCACAGCTTCTATTCCACTGACTCTGTCAGATTTATAATACTATTTTTTCCCTTTGTATCAGTTCAGACTTCTGGGATTGCAACAAATCAATGAACGTGTGTGATGAATGATCAAGTTTAATGCAAGGAATTAATTATAGGACCACTTGCCCTAACTGGGAAACATACAGGCTTAGGAAGAGTATCTCTGTTGACCAGAAACTCACCTATCTTTCAGAGTTACCAAATTCAAACCTCTTAAACCAAATCATTTTGACTTTCTGGAATCCTAGCTGTAGGGCAAATTATGACCCAAAGGCTTTAACAATTAACCTCCATTCTTCCGCTACAGAAGAAAATAGCACAACACAAACTATTCAAACCCAACCAAGTTAGTAATACCAACATAGGGTCAACAACCACCATTACCAGGCTCAAGGGCTATCCTCTTAGACTTCTCATTAGTTAAACTTACAAAAAAAACCTTTTTTCAGAAAAAAAAAATAGGTAATCAACATTTCGACATCATGTTATAAAAATTTCATTTTTATTCATATTTTTCGTTCTGTGATAATAACGACATCACAAACATTTCATTTCTATTCACACTACTTGTTCTGTGATCATACTCTTGTTTTTCCATATTGAGACTGCTGCTTCAAATTTGGATTAGATATTGCCTCAAACTTAAAAAAGAAGCAAGAACCAAGTCTGCATTAGTACATATTAGGGATGAGCAATGAGTCAATGACCAAGTCGCTTAATTTCATTTTAGAAATGACCTATGGCCATGTGATTAACTGGAACAAAATTTCATGGTTCTATGATAGTTAAATACAAGGTGAAAGAGAGTCTATATGTATGTTTGGTGGGGGCATTGGAAAACCAAGTACTATAGAATTCCTCAAATATTTCTTGCTTTTTGGTAATGGCAATGAAGAGACAACAAATTGAAACTAAAACCCAAGTTTGAATTTTGGCTTCAAACACCTTCTCGGATATCCTTGCCTTAGAGACTCCAATTTTTTGTACTTAAGAACTTGGTAAAAAAAAAAATTGTCTACTAATTGGCTGGCAAGTTTAGTACCATGAATTTAATGGGGGTTGAGTTCACTGAGTCAAATGCCGAACTTGGGACCCCAAATTCAGTGAAACTCCCCAAATCTAGTCCTCGGTTGGAACCCTTTTTGTCTGTTCCTTGACCTAGGGCTTGCTTCCCAAGCGTGTAACCATAGTTTATCGATAAAAAAAAAAGGTCAAACTCTTCAAACCCAAGCTTCTATGCCTCTTTCTACGTGAAACATTAATCCCCTTAATTACAATCATGGAAATGGCAAAAGCCCACTTTTGTTGAAAAAATGATTTCAAATCCCATTGTCTTTCTTGTTCACCTAATCCAAATCCACATTTAAGTAGATCATAATGGGTTTTCTTTCCTCTTTATGAAGTTTGTCTATTTCCGTAAAACCCATAAAGAATTCGAAGTTCACAAAAAACCCGAATCCAAGACCTATTCAGGTATTTAATTCAATAATAAATATATCTCACACTTATCTTTATATTTGAAGAGTTAGATTTGAATTTTCCTCCCGGATAAAAAAAATTCGGAGTCAATTTTATTCTTTCCTTGCATCTGCCCTAGTCTTGCAACAGTCATGGTAGTCTGCTCATTGTTTTGGCTCATTTCAAACCTCCCACCAACTGTCTGTTTAAGCTTGTTAAAATTCCAAAAAACATAGTAAAAATCAAACTACATTGAGTTGTTTTGAAGAAGACTAGCAATAAAGATCAATGATCCATTATTAAGACATGAAAGCATTCCAAACATGCAAGTGGGCAGCAGGTCAGCACGTGAGCTGTATCTTTTCCTTAATAATGAAAGGGCAAATCTTGGTTTATAAGACATCTTACTCACTTGTTGCTTTGAGAGGTGAGAAAAAATTCAATGTGCGCCTTAGGCTGCAGTCCAGATAACGTCAGCTTTGCTCAATGACATTTGTACTACTAATGTTAGAGAAAGTCTTATGTGCTTAGGGGACGAGCCTGAGTAAATTAACCAGCATTCTATAGGCTCCATGAGCTTGTCTTTGTCAAAGTTAGAAACCACTTAGAAAAAGAACAGCAGTTCTTTCTAACTTAGAAAAAGAACTGCGATTCTTTACAGATCTAAGAATGCATACCAGTTGTGCTGAAGAATCTATACTCATAATTTGATCGGGAGTTACTGATCAACTTTATACATGCATATGCTTTCAACACTCATGCTTCTTTGGCTCACTTTTTTTTTATGCAATGACACTAAAAGTTGATTTTGAAGCATGAAGACTGACAGCTAAGAAGCAAACCCACACAAAGCTCCATTATCATGGCCACCAGCAAGGAGAAAAACTCAATTTTATTATATTGCTGGAATCAAACTTTTAACCTCATGAGGTTGCCTGTAACAATTCCTTGATGTCATAACCTTGCAACTGCACACACATACACAAAAACCAGGAGATAAATCAGTTTCGTGATACTACATTTCCTTGCGACAGAAGATTCCAAGAATTCCAAGTCAAAATCAAAGTCGTACAGAGAAACTTCTATTTAATCAGTGGAAGTGAAAAATTTACCTGAAGCAAGGTAAGAAGCAAAATCACTCCTGAGTTCCATAAAGCATGGATTGTGATGGGGGTCACCAGATTGCGAGTTTGAGCATATGAAAATCCCAAAGCAGTTCCTACATAGACCATGAAGTCTATTGGTTTCTACAAGATAGATGGAAATGTCCGATGTCCACTGAAAAGTCTATTCAGATATATCTTAATGGATTGGGATTGTGAAGGGCGAACTTGACTGATTATTGGTTCTCAATATATCCTCCACCTAGTAGTTTACAGTGTCATGCATTACCTAGTACAAATAGCTGCGGAAACTCTCCAGGAGTGAGATGTGCAAGAGCAAATACAGCAGCACTGATGATTACAGAAACTGGTGTAGGAACCCTGAATGAGGAATTGCAGAAAACATCAAACCATGTTGTGAATTGATAGAGAATCTATAACGAGGTCAAATATAGACAGTTCACTATCCATAGCACTTAAAAGAACAAGTAGCACCTAAAGATTAACATATAGACAGTTCACTATCTTGCAATTAACAATCTGATGTACCCACTCAAGCCTCATTTCAAACTATTTATGTTTGAATCTACAAATCTTAGTCAGCATCTACTTTAAATGGCCACATCTACACTTTGGTAAGTGTGTGTCTCATACTGTCTAGATCCACCTACTTCTTGAGTTTCCGCAGCCTTTATAGAGCCAACAACTGGGGCCATATTATGCTTATTACTGAAGCCATTTTTCTTTGTGAACAAAAAAATACTATCACAGTCCTATTAACCTAAAGTAAGGCTTTCTAATTGCATTTCCCTTTATTTAAACCTTTTAGTTGCATACTTGTTACACTATTCTTTTATAATTAGTACACTGATTCTTAACACGATGCCATTTATGTCATAAGCACAGCCTGTTCATCACATAATTCCCTGTTTTTGATACATATGTTTAGATCATAAATTCATCATAAAATCACTTCCTTTGCTTCCACTACCTAACCCAAATTACATTTTCCGTTATTCTTTTCTAAGAACTGTTTTCTGTATCAGCAATTTGCTTTACAGGGTGAATCACATCTTTAACAGTACATAGAACTAAACTAAAGGTATAGGAGTTTTCTCAACATGCTTCAAGTCTTTAAAAATTGTCCATTCTCAACAAAGGAAAAAGAAGTTAGCACTAGGATAGTTGGCCCGTAACAAATGCATGTTCGTACATTTCATCAAGGCAACACAGCCAAGAGAGCTTCTTATTAACTACTAAGAAATAGATAAGTAAAAATACCACTTTGTCAGGGAAGTCATAAAAAACCCTCGAAACACAGTCTCCTCGAGAATTGGAGCCAGAACACCTGTGATGCCCACCAAGCAAGCAGTGCTACAATAGATATCAAAATGATCAATTCTACTTGAATTCCACTTCTAGTGAAATCCATAACATTTAGAACCTATAAGATACAAATAATTCTAACCAATTCCACAACCAAAATATGAAGAGTACCTTATACTTGATGACCCAATTAATGGAAGCAAGCGAACTAGAGCA